GTTTATATCTCAGACTTTTTAGATAAACCTGAAATGTGGAAACGACATAATTGTCCACTTTAACCCTCGTCTGAAAGTACGTTTTTTCACTTGACAAAACTCCTTCACTCCTAGTCCTTCTCTATAACCATAGTAATCCTCATGAGTTTATATTTAAGGATCAGATCCTTGTGTTCAACTCCTTCCATGAGGGCAGCTGGCAGGAAGAAGAGCGAGCGTCAGTCATATTCCCATTCCAAACAAATAGGATCTATACGGTGGAATTTGTCGCAAGTGGTCGAAATACCGTTTATGTAGGTGTTATTCCAAATAGCTGCGTAATGATATGGTACATCAGTGAGATTTAGAAAAAGGTCATTTCTTTCAGGTGTATGTGAACGGACAATTACTATACGAGTTTCGCGAACGTCAATCTGGCACGCATGTAGCATCTGTTGAAGTTGGAGGCGACATCAATATCCATTCAGTTCATATAATCTGAGACAATTCCATTATTAGAGCAATCAAACTTGATTTTAAAGGAAATTTTTCTCTGTTTTATGACAACAGTCAAATTTTGCTCGCTAATCTGATGGTATTTTACAAACTTTTCTTTGTTCTAAACAGAACACACTCCCATTTGTCATAAGCCATGAGCCACAAATTGTTTTATTTAAAATTTACATCGAAATTTTTAGTGCCTCTTTACTGGACATAGGGACATAGATATTCCACATGCAGCTGGATGATGCAAGATAACATATCTTACCACATCCTTTGCCTAACCAAAAACATTAGTTCTCTTTAAGATAAAAGACTACCACAAATTACAAATGCACCTCTTCCTCTCTTCCCCTCCCATCTCCCCCTGCCCATATTAGCTTTGCAGTTTACTTTGGAAATTACTGATGTATGCAGCAAAAATTTCGCATAGATGATCACTGTGGGTAAACCGTTGCTGGACTGGAAATGGTTTGAATGCAAACTTTGCTTATTGAAGACCAACAGAACTCATTATTAGCAAAATATGTGTTAATAAAGAGTTGAGTTCTCATTCTGCTTAATGATCACTGATGTGAAGGTATTAAAAACTACCTGTTGAGAGAACACTACTCCAAAAATTTCCAAATTATTGGGTGTACAACTTAATTCGGTCCGTTTGCAAAAGATGGCGCTAGGTGCTATAAATGGTTGA